ATCGTTATTGTTAAAATTACATTTATCGTTGCAAAGTCATATTGTCACGGATAAACAATCATTTCTATAATGTTGAAGTTTAAAAATTATGTTATTATTTATGTCGTTATTTATTTCATTTTTTATTAATTATTTTATTGTTTATTATTACGTTATGTTGTAAGAGAACGCGAGTCATATGAGAAAAAGAACCCCTCTGTCCTTGTCTAATTAAATATGTACACTAACGCCGCTCGTTAATCGGTGTTAGACTTACACGTTATACTTTACTGCACTTTAGTGCATGATTTATTAGACAAGGACACAAGTGGCCTCTATGCAGTGTTGTCTTCCTACTCCTATATCATTTTTTGAGTTCGTTCACGCATTTTTATGGTTATTAATCATTCATCCATATTGTTTTATGTGCATTTAATTTTGTAAGCTTATCTGCGTTTCGTGGAATTCAAAAGTTAGCTTATTTATGCTTTACCTATCGTTCCCTGCTTTGTTATAACTCACTAGCTTTGTAATGGAATTATCCTAAAAGAATAAAATTCTATGACACATGTATAAAATAATAATTTATGTCATTGGAAAAGAAGAACAATCGTTATTGAACTGACATAAAATTTATTTAAATTTCAGAACGATTCATCATTACTTCAAACAAGAATTACATTTTACAATGCGATTGAAAGAAATGGAGACAGCACTATTTAAAAGCAGTCACACAATCGAATTAAATACTTAATAGAGAAGCAACTGCGAGTGTATCTGTACTTAATTTACCGTGTTTATATGAAACTTAGCCTTAATACCCCATTATTTACAACTATGTTATTTCCCCGTCAGATGGGATATTATTTATTTCATAGCCAATATATCATAGAATCTGTCATTTATTTCAATAGAGTAAGTGTATTGTACCATATTTTAGATGTCATATATGTATGTCATTTTCAATCCTTTCATCTCTTCTATTAAAGATCTTTGGTACATACATTACATGTGACATGCATTACTATTCGAAAATCATAATGTGGGGGACAATATTGTTGTATACGTTTCTTTATAATAGATAACTGACAGAATGTTTTGTTATATATTAAAACAAACATTGAAGTTAATAAAAACATGTATTTTATTTATTTAATGTATATACATCTCTTAATTAAGAAAAAGCAAGCTAAATAGTGTTAAAAATTCTTGAAATATCCGAATACTAATCTCAGTCACTATATGTCTTTCGAATAATGTTCAATTATTCAATTTATTTCAGATACATATCAAATCAGTACTGTCATGATAAATAACTAGCTTAATAAATATTATTTATGAATTTCTAATTATTTCATTTTTCACAATTAATTTCATAAATCAATAAAATTGATAAAGCGTTTAAATTAGATAGTAGAGACATCAAGCGCTGAATATAGATACTATCATGGCCCAGTTCGACCCAACTGATATTTTAAACTATAGTCATTACGTTTCCTGCGATGTATAATGTGTTAGTATAATTGTTTTAGATGCGAGATATTTGCAAATATGTAATGCGACGTGAAATTGTTAATTTCGATACAACCACATTCAGATAAAAGTATTTTTTAGATATATTTTACGTGTCATTGTTCGGGTTAATCAAATTTTTTAAGTATAAAAGTAACCTCAAAATCAGTGATGCTCGTTTTACGTAGCTTTCAAAATACGAACTTGCTCGTGTTGCTTGGTGGTCTGTTAATGTGTCTTGTTTTTATGATACAAGTGAAACAAATTTACAATAACAATCAGAAATACAACAGATATTTAGGATACAAGGAATACGTAAGACTTTCAGAGACAATCATATATATTCATGTTGCGTTTTCTTATGAATTTAAATCGATTCGTTTGGACTTTAGATGAATGAAATATCATCGGAATTGAAAGCAGTAGAAAAGTCTGCGAATAAATCCTCGACGTATGTTCGTCAATTAAACGAAATCCTCTTGAAACATCGTGATAAGGATTTGAAAAATATGACTGTATCACGTCCTGTTCTTTGATTAGAAATTTTTGTAGTAGGTATATTTAGAGAGAATTATTCAATATGTTAACCGTTAATACTTATGTATATGTTCAAATAATTAGTGTATTTGAACAAGTATGTTAATATTTTATTTCTGTTAGAATAATGAATTTGTACATAAGATTGCTACTTGCATAAGAAGGAGAAATATACAAATTTATGTTTTGTAAATAATATATTTGTATTTTCGTATATGAAAATCATTAATATTTTTATTTGATATTAATGTAGTGGAAGAATTCTGTTATGTATGTTATTCTATTATTATATAACAAAGAGTCACAAACTTGTGGCATAAATGAAATTTATTTAAATACCCCAAAACCGTTTCTACAATATTATGTAAAAAAACATAATAATTATGATAATAAAAATATAAAAATTATAAAACATAAAAATTATAATAATTATGAATATAAACTATAAATATCCTCTATATTGCTGTGTCATGTTGGCATTAATTATTTATTATATTTTCATATTGTAAAAAGATTGAAATAATCAATATGTCTTAAATAAGATTTTCAAGTGGCATACATTGTGGTTCTTTAGTTCCAATAAGAACTCCTCTAGGTGCACAAAGCCAAGGATCTTTGGTTGTTTTCTGCCATTTTAATAATCTTTCGTGTAAATCAAAGAATATTTTCTGAAAATAAAATTTATATATGGTTTAATATTTTAGGATATATTTGTTCAAGTATAGCAAGTGTTTCGTTTTTAATTACTTTTGCAGATGATTTAGAAGCAATATTATTTTTTTCTTCTGGATCATATTTTAAATCATACAATTCCCATTCTGGTCTTTCATAGTAATTTTCTAATGTCTTGTACCATGGAAGTGATTGTTTATTCCTGGTTCTATTCAAAAGATCCTTTAAATAAAAGAAAAATGTATGATTTATAATTTAAAAAATATTACATAACCTTTTCTCATATTAATTTTTATCTTTTGCAGGTTACCTGAAAGGTTGGTGAGACGTAAAAATCTTGATCAATAGGGAATGGCATTTTATAGTTAATGTTATGTATTAGCTTATATCTTTTAGTTCTAATAGCACGCATGGGATAATACATAGTAACTTCATGATGTGTTTGACTGGCAAAAACAGCTGTGTCATTTTCTATGGGTTCTGGAAACACATAAGTGTGTAGCAAGATAATGTTAAAGGTGTCTTAATCCTGAAGGTAGATAATTTGAATTTACCTTCAATAAGAAGTGGAAGGAGTGATTTTCCAGTCAAATGAGGAGCTTCATTTGTATCAAATGAAGATTGATCTGTATATGGTATGTTAAACCAGTCTAATAATGTTGGTACAATATCCAATAATGATGTTAAACTATGTGTTACACTATTTCTCCTATGATTAGGAATTGGTGACCTAATCATCATAGGTTCTGCCAATCCTAATGTGATAAAGTTAATTATTTTTCTATAGTAGATATCTTCAACTTTATTTTTAAAAAAAGAAGTTTCTCTTTGCTTATTTATATATTTTAAATAATTTGACTAGTACCTGGTTCATATAAATTTGTTCTACCATTTGGAAATGGTATACCATTATCAGAAGTGTAAATTACTAATGTATTATTTTTAAAACCAGCATTCTCTAGTTCTTTTAAAACTAATCCTACACCTATAAAAATTTCAATATTTATTAGTAATGGTAGTTTTGAAATTGCATCATTGTTTTTAATAAAATACCTTGATCTAAGCGAGAAATGGTTGTATATTGAGCAGAGATATCACGTCTAGCAGCTTCTGTATTTTGAACAAAATATGGTACTTTCACTTGTTCCCACTGATAGTATATTGGATACCAGTCAGGGATAGTACCCATACCAGTGTCTCCATTGCCAAATTTTTCACAAAAATTGCCATATTCTGGATGTGTATGACCACATCTATGAGGATCGTGAAATGCAATATATAAAAAGAAGGGCCTAGAAATGTAATACTTTATTTATCTTTGTCATTCTTCAAGTTGAAGTCTATCAAATTCATACTTTGTCTTATTTTGAGATAGAAATTCTCTGACTAAAAGTTTAATTTTAGTAATGTTTCGACCAACTTGAAGTATAGAATTATTTTCTTCTGTATGGGAAAAATCAAATGGATACACACTACCTGGTCCTACATGCTTTTTACCTATGATACCTGTAAAATATTTATAAATGATTTTTGAGTTTTCATAATTCTTAAATTTAAATATACCTGTCCTTATATTGTTTTTTTTTAATATTTTTGGCAAACTTTGGACAGTTTCAAATGAGTTAAAGTGATGAATTCCATGATGGAGACCATACATCCCATTTTGATGACTCGGTAAACCAGTGAGTAAGGAGGAACGACTAAAATGTTTACAAATTGTGAAAGTAACACAAAGTAATAATATGATACCTACATTGATATGAAATATTGAACAGCAAGTTGGACAATAATAATGATACCTAGGAGAACAACTGCTGACTGAAGAATATGCATTATTAAACAGTAAACTCTCTTTTGCCAAGTTATCTAGATTAGGTGTTTGGCAAATATTATTTAAATAGGATCGCATTTCAAATCCCCCATCGTCAGCTGCACAAAAAATTAAATTCTGTATTTATAATTCCCTAAGATTGTAAAATATGAAAAGATATTTTATTTTTTAATTGAAGATATACAACACAGATGAAGAATATTAACTAAAATTTGATTTTTACATGAAAATATAAAACAAAATATGTATTTTAATTTTTAAAAATTTTATTTCGCATTTCATAAGATTGAAATAACAAAATTTTTGAGAATAAAAACAGTAGTATATTTTTACCCAAAAGTAAGACAGCATTTTTATGCGGCACGATGTTTGCATTTATCTTATATAATTCTAATAAGATAAGGAAGACAAAGCAGTATAATTTACTCGAGCAACTTCTTCTTAACATTGCAATTTTGCAGATAAGAAGAGTACCGATAAAGAACACGTCAAATAAGCCACGTATCAATCTAACCACCGTCTGTATTTTTGTTTTTTTTTCTTCGTTACTTTGTATGCAGTATTTAATTTATTTCGTGGTCGATGAAAATAGAGAAAGTAGAGAAAATGAAATATCAACTTAATTACGGTCGTAATATTGTGTAATAAAATAGTGTTATCTTTATTCATATGTTAATGACTTGTTGTCTAGACAGGTTATATTCATTGTGTATTTATCAATAATGTTTTAGATACATATCTATATGTTCTGATCTTTTCGATAATTTTTACAAAAGTGTTATGATTTTTTATTAGAATTGTAATGTATTTTGTTTTTCTCGTTCTTTTTCGTCTATTTATTAATTATTTTTATTAAGATTGTTTTGATATGATTTAATCTGTCAGGAAGAAGATCATAAGTGGTGGGGAATTGTTAATATATAATAATGAGAGAAACGCCTTGCACGTGACTTGCGTGTGACTTGTTTGATACATACGATAGTTTTTTAAAATAGTAATAAATTTTTTATATCAAGCAATTTTTGATATTTAGTTATAAAAATTTCTTAATAGCTATATTTATATTTTGTACAGAGCTTTTAACATTTTTTCCTTATTAAAAATTTAATGTAAAAATTTATGTTTCAGGTAAGCAGATAAACAGTATCATTTTACTATGACTAAGAAGATAATATGTTTATTTGATGTCGATGGCACACTTACGGATCCTAGACAGGTATAAATATTTATATTAAAAACAAAATACATTCTGATTGTTATGAATAAGTTTTAATTTCTTATTAGGCAATTAAACCATCTGTGGAGAAGTTCCTTTTGGGGACTGTTAAGAAAGAGTTTGACATAGCTATAGTTGGAGGATCAGATTTAAATAAGATTAAAGAACAGTTGGGTGGTAAAAGTATATTTGAAAAGTACAAATATGTTTTTGCAGAGAATGGACTTATTGCTTTTAAAGAGGGTAAACAATTACCTACAGATGTAAGTGATACAATTAAAAGACAATATTAAATTGTTATAAAATTTTCTGTTTCTTACTTTTTATTTCTTACTTCAGACAATTCAAAGTATTATTGGTGAAGAGGCATTGCAAGATTTGATCAATTTTTGTCTGAAATACATATCTGAATTACATCTACCATTCAAGCGTGGAACTTTTATAGAATTTAGGACAGGAATGCTTAATGTATCACCAGTTGGTCGTAATTGTACTAAAGAAGAGCGTATTCAGTTTTATGAATACGATCTTGAGCATCAAATACGTCAGAAATTTATTCAAGCTATCAAAAAGGAATTTCCAGATCTTGCTTTAACGTACAGTATTGGTAAGTGAGATTTTTATATTTGTATAACATTTGTTCTTCATATAGATTGTTATTGAAAATGTGTCTATTATATGTGTAAAGGAGGTCAAATATCTTTTGACATTTTTCCTATTGGTTGGGACAAAACATATTGTCTAAGACATATTCAAGGATATGAAGAGATACATTTCTTTGGTGACAAAACAGCAGAAGGTGGCAATGATTATGAAATTTATGAAAGTGATTTAACTGTTGGACATCGTGTAACTTGTCCAGAAGATACAGTTAATCAACTCAATATTCTTATAGCATTTATTAAAGAAAAAAGAGAACGAGAACAACTGGAGGTTCCTATGCAATGTGCATAATGCAATGAATATTTAATGTACTAAATAATTTACTTAAAAAAGAAGGTACTTTTATATATTTATGTTGATTTGTTTTTCTGTTTTATTAGTAAGCATTCCATTTATAGTATTACATTTTCAATATCAAAAGAATTTTTGATACAATTAAAAAATTTAGATTATTCAATCTTTATTTTTATCAAATTGATTATTTCAATTTGTTAAAATAATCTTATGGGAAATTGAATTGTAAATTTCGTTTTTAATGTTTTATAAAGAACATGTGTTGAAGTATAAAATTGATGCAATTGCTTGTAATATGCATTTGAATGAAATGAGAATTAATGTTATATATATAAACAGAATTATTTTATTTTTTTAAAATAAACTTATGTGTTTACATAAATATATACATATTGTGTATTAACAACAACAACAACATTGTTATAAACTATATAAAATTCTGAAATTGTTTAAATCACGTATAAAAATACTTAAAACTATGTACCTAACAATATTATTTCTGTACTGTATTAAATATTAGTTTACTAATTTCATATGTTTCTATTTAAATACAAGTATGCTTGAACTTTCATAATGATGTGTCGATGATCGAAATTAATCACATTACAATGATGTAGTACAAGAAAGGCATGTTTCTGCATTTAATCTTGATTAAAATGCACTTTCGTGATATGTAGATAATTAAGCGTAACAAACTTATAAAATACGTTGTATTTTATTTTTATATGTTTAAACTCCCTGATAAATGGGCATACGTTTCGTCCCAAATGCTGCAAGTCCTTCGATTCTATCTTTTGAATCTACAACTGTGTTGTAACATTGTTTTTCAATTTCAAATCCATCTGTAATAGGCATTTGTAGACCTTTTGATATCGCTGTTTTTGCCATTCTAAAATATGATAAAATAAGAGTATTATTTATTATGATGTATTGTTTGTTGTGTATTATATTTATATAAACCAAATTTGTAAACTTATACTTACTTAACTCCAATTGGTCCATTAGGTAAGATTTCTCTGGCAATTGTTAAAGCAGCTTGATAAGCCGCATCACCACTTTTATTTTGTGGAACTACTTCATTTACTAAACCAATCTTCATAGCCTGTTCACCATCAACAATGCGTGCAGTGTAAATAAGTTCTTTTGCTCTAGCACTTCCAATTATTCTTGGAAGTCTTTGAGTGCCTCCTGCTCCAGGAATAATAGCCCATTTTGTTTCTACAAGGCCCATTTTAGCTTCTGACGCTGCAACTCTAATATCTGTGGCTAGAGCAATTTCTAATCCACCACCTAGTGCAGCACCATCAATAGCAGATATCACTGGGGTTGGTAAAGTTTCTATATCATATGTCATATTTCTCAAGAATGAAACAAATTTTGAAATTTCTGCTGTGTCCATTTTTGCTCTTTCTCTCAAATCTGCACCAGCACAGAAAACTTTTGGGACCAAACTACGAATGATTAATACTCTCAACTTTGAGTCTTCTCTGATGGAAGAAATGGCATCATGTAACTGACTAGTTATAGTTTTGCCAAGAGCATTGCAAACTGTGGGTCGATTTAATCCTAATACTACAATGCCATTGTCTTTTCCATCCAAATACTTAAGTACTACTTCTTTCACATCTTCTTTTGGATTTAACATTGCGTTGGTAGACATTGCCTTTGTAGCAGTTGTACAAAGAGAATGGAAAGTGTGTCTGACACTTGTCGTTAAAGACCCCATTATGTAAAGTTTATGTGTAAACAGGCTTTCACTCAATTAAGTCTTGTGTGAACACAATCTGAAAAGAAATCTCCATTATTAAAAATATTACAACAAGAAATATTAATAATTATCTTATAAATTATTCATAATATTAATATGCAGTTCATACAAGAGTTTAATTCGAATTACTTTTAACACTTTAAAAGTGAATAAACATATCCAATATACCAATGATGAATTATAATATATTAGTAACTGAATATCACAGATTAAAAATATGGTAAGTTATTTTTAAGAGCTTATATGATATTTTAGAACTCAAAGAATTAATTAAAATTACTTTTATCTAAATATTCTCCTACAAGCAAGTTTTAAAAATCGTTCAATTCATAGTCAACAAAACATTATAGCCATCTAGCGGTAAAATGAATTGTTTAGAAATTAAATTAAAGCTTGCGCTTTTAGAAATTTTCTATGCATATTCGATTTCTTACGTAATTAGTTAATTACATGCAATTAGTGCAAAGTGCCCTATTTTGGGCCTGCTTGCGCCGTCTACAGGTGAATTAGTGCAACTAATAAGAATCAAAATTTCTAACTAGTAAATGGCACCACCACATTCAAAATGTATGTCGGTATATTATATAAGTCTGACCAGAGAGGAAATGGAAGTACTCGTGTTTATAGATTTGGTTGTTCCTGGACTAGTGCTGCACTATGCGGCCAAGTGCTGAGGTTAATTAAAGTTAGCATACACAAAAACTTGTAAAATTAGGGATCTGCCCTGTTTGATTGCACAAAGACATTGTATTAGCCAATGCGAATGATTATGACTAACAATAAATAAATGACGAAAGTAGAAAATTAAGTATAAACAAATATTACACATAGCAATATTATATATATATCATAATCATTCGCATTGCCTACTACAATGTTTTTGTGCAACCAAACAGGGGACATTCTTAACTTTAAGCTTAAATACATAGATTATTGTATATGCTAAATTGCAACCAAACAGAGCAGATCCCTAATTTTATAGGTTCTTGTATATGCTAACTTTAGTTGACCTCAGCATTTGGCCGCATGGTGCAGCACCTGTACTGCGAATCAACTAGAACAGGCGTCTGACTGGCGCCTTGTCCTTATTATCAAATATCTCTATAGCAAGTACAAAAACAATGATGATTAAGTATACTAGGTATATTAAGTATACAATGAAGTAATAATGACAATCAAATTCCTGAACGTTGGGTACGACGTACAAGCGACGTACTAACGACGCGTACTCGAGTCGGCACGGTATGTATGTTATGTATAGATATATACGTGCATATATACTTTTATGTGACACACGAAATAAGAATCCCTGATGAAAAAGTATTTCATTATAACCCATACTAAATACATATGTCAAGTTTTACAATATGAACACAGATATTGTATAAGAATTTTTTGTTAGCATAGAATATCGTAAAAATTGTAAATCGGACCAGCAACGAACTTGTCAAAGAAAGAACAGCATCGGCATGTTTACATATCTGACTTCTGTCTTATTCTTATTATCAAACATCTCCATAAAAAAATACAATAATAACAATTATCTTCCTAAACGTTGAAGAATGAAATTATAAAGTAATTAACGAAAGATTAATATACTTAATATTTAATGGATAAATAGTATCGGTTTGTTTATATTATGTATACATAAGTCTGACCGGTGACTTATTCTTATTATCAAATAGAAGTATAATAATAACGATAAACAGATTGAAATATATTACACCGTAGAACTGCATTTTCACACAATATTACACATTTTACAGTATACTATGCACATTTTCTCAGCAAATGTTAATTTAAAATCTAAGTCATTCACATTTTTGAAAATTGTTTATTCCAACAAATTTATCTTATTTTAATCACCCTAAAGAATTTAGTGAAACGTAGGTCACTGACGACCACCGTGCCAGTCAGCGTGTTAACTTTTTAAATATTGAAAAATCATTCCAATAAAAGTGTAAAACACCCAATAAAAGATTAATATTCCGAATATTTTAACACGGTCAAGTCTGACTTGCGTCTTACTCTCACTAACAAATATCACTATAAAAAATACAGTAAACACGATTAGTTTTTAAACTTTGAAGAATTATTCAAATGAAATTATCAAATAATTAATGAAACGTGTAAACGTATACGTATAAATGAAGAAAAATAGAAATACCGTGTCTTCTTTCGGAAGCGTGTAGGAATGTCTCTGACGACTCCTTGGACTTTACGCACCGTCGCGTTGCACCAATAGCATTTGTGGTAGGGAGGCCCGAGAAAAGTTCAAATATAACGTACTAACTTCAGTACTTCGACGACGACGTCGCAGAGTCGCAAGCGCAACTGGTTGTTGTAGAAAATGAAAGGAAAATATATTCTTCGCGACCTACTCAAGTTGTACGTGTATTTATACACTGTGTGTCACACGCACACAGATAAGATTCAAACATCCATTTTGCGTCACTCGATATGTTTTTCTATCTCTCCTGTTAACTTTACGAAGCGCGAGTTGCTGCTAGAATAGAAAAGAAGCCAATATTTCGAGGTTCTCAACTAGAACAATTAATATGCATTATCAGTATTTATATTAATAAATGTCTGAGACACCCTTAAGTAGGTTTCGAATAGAGTAGTACGTTGTTGAATGGTTTGTATAAAGCTAGACTTGTAACTTTAAAGAATTAAAAGTATGGTTAGTAAAATACATATTATGGATCTCGTAAACCGATAATTTAATTTAATTTTGATTAATTGAGATTAATATAAAAATGGATTAATAAATTGATAAAAGTCACGATAATGGCCTTTTCATAAGCAGCGTAGTCTATATAGATTATAAGTTACAATATAGTTATGTAATATAGTATATAAATTAGAATATATTCGAACCTACATACGTACCTACTACCATTAATAATCTGTGTCTTAATAATAATTAATAACATATGTCGTACAAAGATAAATAACTGTCTTATCAAACAAAATAGGATTTTATCTAGCAAAATAGCAAAAACTATACTTTTCTATTTGCAGGTAATCGAAGTTTTAGAATTTTTATATAAAATATGAAATATCTATTTTCACCATTATGAGATGGTTGATTTGTAAATGTTATACAATATTTCAACAAATTATCGACAAATCAACGGGATTGAATGATTTTGAAATTTAAGATTATCTTATTATTATTATCTTATTATTGTTACGTGATTTGTTCCTCCCTCTTTTTTGTACTCGAATCAGTAATAATCTTGTTTACAGTTTTTATAACTATAAAGAAGATAAATAAGCCAGATTACAGATGTATGCTTTTTGACTGATAATTTCTTTTTTTAATTTCAGTAAACAGCTGAATTTAATTACCTACGTTACGTTACAACGATGACGTAAATATGTCGCATATGTCTTTTTTAAATTCGTAACGAATTGTCAAATAGGAAGATATTAGATGAAATATTAATAAAACGAATTGTAATAAAATTCTACCGGAACTTCCATTAAAAAAAAGAAAGACAATTTTATTTAGTGAAATTAATTTTATTAAAGACGTCAATTTAAAGATTTACAACAAGCGGTATTTTTGAGACGTAACTTTTCATGCAACAAATTGTTAAACAAACTATTTCATTCAATAATCACTACGTTAACAAAGTATCATTTGTATTTAATCAATAACAGCGGTACGCGATTATGCATACCATAAACGAAGAAAATGAGATAATCTAAAATTAGAACCCCCTGCTCTTAATCGAAGCAGAAAGCAAATCATTGAGTAAATTGTACTTAGTTAAATTTTAATATTTGTACGTTATTTACTCACCAAACGTAGAAATCGTGGAATAATTTTAGGTCTCTCTGTTCAAATATCCTGCGTTTGTCATTTTTTAATATGTTCAGATATTAAATACATGTGTCACGAATGTTATAAAATATTAATAACATTCTGCGATAAAACTATTTAGTCACTTTTATTTTTAGTTTAAACTGCATAAAAAAGTATGGAATATAATCAAAAGAGAAGTCACTTGAGCCTTTTGCATGTCCATTAGTTTCAATGACGATATGTCACAAACCATTTCCTTATTTTAAAACGAATAAACATGATAAAACAAAATGAGAATTATAATTTTGTATTGATAATCCTTCTGGAATCTTTAAATTTGTCTTTAACAGAGTTGTCGTTTTAGATAAATTAGAATTCAACGGTGTAAATCTACTTAAAGTACTTTATTGATATATAAATATTGATAGAATATTCATTAAAACAGTATAAAAAGTTGACTTATTCATTTTACAACGAATCTTTTTATAAATGTAAGCTCAATTGTCTTAAGTATCGGGTAACATAAAACAATAGGTATAAATGCAGATTATATCGATATCGCAGCATGAAAATGTTTCAGACTTTGCAAATAATTCATAGAAACTACTAGAAATAAATAAATAAATTAATAGCGAATATTGGTCTAGAATGAAAATGCATAACTCTTTCAAAACCAGTTTATCCTTCGTTCTTTCTTACAAAAATTGTTATTAAAATGAAGCGAAGGAAGGATAAACAGTTTGCTATTTGTTGACTCTTAAAATTCCCAGTGTTTAAAACAAAAAAGAGAGAAATGAATAAATTGTACCTTTAAAAATATAAACCAGTGATATAAAACTGTAACATTGAATCCTCAAACCATATCTAAGCCAAAACACAAGATCTGAGTAATAGAAATTTGTCAGTTTTTAGATAATAATAATGGAAAGCGAAAAGGTACGAAAGTACGTTAATTTTGCCACAACTCCACGCTCTTCTACATACAGTTTATCAATATCTATCATCGTCCAATTAATCAAACTATTATCTATAACGAACATCGTGAATTCTATCAATGACGCACGAAGCATAACAGATACGTATACCGAGATATTTAGAGAGCCAATCGAGAATTGAAATGCATTCATCGACACTCTAATTTTTTTCATAACATTTCAACCAATAAATTTGGTTACTCTTCTACTTACTATGTAACATACTCCGTTAACTAATCTATTCAAAACGATTCAGAATCAATTGCTTAAATTCTTATCCAACGAAAGCATCCAATTCTCGCAATTCGAAGCTAACGAAATTACAGAAGATTCTCTTTAGATTCGAGAAACAAACAGCCATAAAACCAAACGCAAATACCATAAAGAGAAGACTGCTCTCACGAATAATGATTCACAGACTCTGGATTTTTGTGCGTTTCTGATAAACATTTAAAAATACAAAAATCCACAGAATGCGTACAATATGCAAAAATATATAAAATATACTAAGTACGAATGATCATAGTTTTTAATAGGCGAAACGTATTACTATTACTACTATTACTAGATATCGTTTCTTTAGATCTCTCTTGGCAAAAATATGAAATTGCATAAAAATTCGCGGTCTAATAATTTAAGAAATAAAGACAAAGAGAGAAGTCCGCTTTCATGGTGGATGAAGGTTTTCATTAAGACCAACGATGATGCGAAGGAAGATTTAAGCGGCGGCGACTGCAACAGGTGGAGGTCGAAGCATCGACCTCGTGGCCGATGATAATTTCTCCGAGACTAAATGAGCGATGTGCGATGATCTTTTCCAGACGAATTCGCGCGTTCTGTCGTGATCGTCCGCGCTCTCCACTCGCACCTAATTAACAAATAACATCGAGATTAACAAATTGTTCACGTAATCGTCGCAGTTATTAAGTTCGAGTTAACTTCAGTGTCTTCGGATCTGAACCTTCGATGGTGATGATATTAGATCGCATCGGTTTGCAGGATTTACAGATGAAATATCTGTTTTTTTTTTTTGAAAAGCATTTATAAAGTATCAGTTGCCTTTGAAAATTTGAGTATTTTTAGTTCAGTGTGTAATTGGTTTCAAATTGGAAGAAATGACAAATTTACATATTTGGTTTACGTCATTTTCGATTCTTTTCGTCGATTAGAACGGGAACGAGGGCGAAACGTAAAAATTAGAGAAACTCCATCTTCCGACAATTTCTCAAACTTTCCATCTCTCTCATCTATCGGACATCTTATTCTCTTTCGTAAGATATTTCCTATAGAAATGAAAATCTACGATATTTACGAGACGATCTGGAATCCGCGTGTGAGACGTGCTTTCTTTCGAAGCTGAATTCATTAAATTTCGCGCTGTCGTCGACTGGTGTACAGCAGATTAAAGAAGGAGAAACTTTCTGTAACACAGGTGAATTAAATGCTAACAATGTTATCGGACGTAATTCTTTCGAACGTGGATAATGTATCGTAAAAATTGTTGGCAGTTTTAAATTTAGTATTTCAACAGGCTTATGTAAATGTTAAGACAATTCAACAAGCTGGTTCGTGAAATCCAAGGATGATGATTGTTCGTCAAACAATGAACGAAAAGAGGAAGTTGGAAGAATGCCATTGACGATAATTACTTGTACATTAACTAATACACGACGAACAGCAAGAAAAATAGCGCTTCAGACGATGGTAAGCCATTTTATCATTATTTATCGTTTGATGGTAATTAGATCGCGCATATCAATACAAATACATATTTTCATATTTTAATATAATCGAAAGAGTGGAACTTAGGTAGGAAATTGTTTTATTCATTGAATATCCTAACTCTATACTTTGTACGTTTTATACGTTTTTTTCATATTACGTGGATTCCGTGAATTTTTTCACTTTCATATTTATAAAAAAATTTATAGTCCCATGATGATAAGAAAAGAAAGTGAAAAATAGAAGGACGAGAAAGCGAAGAAAATGGAAAATGGAAAAAGGAACGGAGAAGCAAGTGAAAGGTAAGAAAAGAAAAGAGAAAGTAGTAGAGGTATAAGTATAATTATACTTATTTCTATTTGACATTATGCTTATTGACAGGATTAGAATTACTTATTAGATTACGTATTAGAAAGGAGAAAAGCGTAAAAAATAAGGAAAAGAATGAAGAAAAAGTTAAAGAAAATGAAAAATACGAAGGATACCGGAAAATTGAAAACAATAGAAAAGGTAGAGAAAAATGAATAAATTAAAAAGAAACGATACATAGATACAAATGAAAAAGTAAAGAGAGTCGATAAATGGATCCACGTGAATCAAACGACAAACAAAGGCTTAAATGAGAGTCATCAAATAGAAGATAAACGGAAGACAGTCATCAGAGATAGATTTTTAAGTCAGTTTTTTACTCGTGACAAAACTCGTGGTATTATACAATATTCGGAAACGTGTTTGAGAGATAGCGATGAATATGTAGTTGCTAAAGAGGCAATGCTTGATAAAGATAAACGTGCAAAACACGTGCCAAAAGTACTGATTCGTTTGAAGAAGATAATAATCGTTTGGTGATCGTCTGCAGAATGGCATTACCATTTCTTACAGACAAGAATTATAATTACCTCGTAAAAAGAACCATATTGTAAACTAGATAAGATGCATATGAAATTGATAAAGCAACAATTCACACCCAGTGACACAATTGGAAATTAATTCTATTGTTCATAAAGTAACGTTTAAGAACAATTACGTAATCACGTGTAAATATTAATAATATATAACAGTAATTAGATCGATAATTATATCAACGATATTATTCAATGTAGTAAATATAGTAAACTATACTATTGTACCAGCTTACTATATTAATATAGCGAGTAAAATTTAACTTTTAAATTTAGCGAACGATAATAAAATGTAATGAATTATAACGCTTAACTTAACTGCTTAAATTATATGCTAATGGATATAAGATTGCTTAATGGTATTCAGCCACGATTTGAATAGAAAATATAAGAATATTTGTTCTGCTGGCACGAAGACATCTTTAATGCATAACTGACAAAAAATATTGAGAGATATTCACCGAGACACTGAACTTAGAATGCCACATGCTAACAGATAACCTTAGGGTAGATATAATACTGTATATGTTACTATAATCCCATTGGTATGACAAAAAGTAAATGTATTATTTATCATTTATTTTAATAAGATGCTGACGGCAGAAAGTTGACAGCGATCGAAAGTAGCTTACGAGGCTCGCAAAGACTTTCTCAATGTAATCATCGAAATGATTAAGTTATGTAAGAAAGTGGCAACATTCGAAGATATAAACTTTTAATCGGACGAAGCTCGAACGAATGAGGCAACAGGTCGAACGATGACACTTCATAGTATATTTCGTTCAACGTGTTTCTGCACTTCTGATCTAATATTATTATTTAATATCGACGAGATATTACTTTGTAACGTTTAATATTAATTATTTGGTATCTAACGTTACTTTATAATCTATATATAATTTATATTTATCGTACCGGCGTACGATAAATTATCAAATCTTTTCTCCTAGCAAGCAAAGCGTCTTGTAAAAAATTGCTATTCTATATCTTTGGCTTATTTTCGATCGACATAGCGTAAGAGAAGACCGACGATATATCTGTTAATTTTGTCCCCTAGTGTGTCTCATTTTTACGGATATAGAAATGAAACCGATAAAAGGTTGATTCTATCATGTAACGAATCTTTTGCTCATTTTTTCTCACTTCAGCGAGTGGCTTGTGCGACAGTAAAATATTCAACTAAAGCGAATGCATTATTAATTTTTTATATGAAAGTTCTCGACGAATAAGAATTCAGTGGCGTGACATGTATCGATAATCCGAGAGGCCGAAGAATTGGCCCACCTCTGCTTATTCATGATCGAGGCCAATGCTCATTTACGACCATTCTATCAAACGAATTTTCATCTTTAACTTGAATTTTAAATTATAAATTATTGAATATTAGCTTAAAATATATATATTCGATGAAATTTATAAAATTATATTTTTTTAATACCTTATAACTGTTTCTTTTCATATATTTCTTTTAACAAGTTTAAATAATGCTTAAACAATACCTAATATATCATAACTTGTAATAAAGAATGTTTGAAAGATTTCACAACGAAATCAATTTACGTGGAAAGACAATAGGAGTGATTAAATAACACAGAGCGTAATGGTTTAACTATAATACCTACGCAAGTAACTTTTCCAAGTACTCTGCCATTTAATATAATCGAGTGTAAACGACTGTAAGGGAAAATCGAATACTAAGATGGAAAACTGCCAGTAACTTTTCCAAGTACTCTGCCATTTAATATAATCGAGTATAAACGACTGTAAGGGAAAATCGAATACTAGAATGGAAAACTTTAACATCAATTTTGCTGTGTATCTAAGCAGATAATTTAATCGATAGTCCGATCTTTAAAATGACATTTATCTAAATTCTGATTCAGCTATGTAAATATCGATAAATTGCGTTTATTCGCTTACTCGCTTATTTGTAATCATAACAGTGATATCGAAAAAAAAGACGAATATGATAAGAATAAAATATAACGAATGATTTGAAATCAACACAATCTACAGTTAACGATAAGTACTTGTTCGATTGTTAATTTCCGATTAACCGTTAAGAATCCACTACTTGCGTTTTGGCCCAACTACCGAGCTCCTCGAAATTCGATCGTTTAATCAAACGAATGTTTAATCATCCGAGACATTATCACTTATCGAAAGAAATCACATGTCCCTAATATTTATCGATTTTGACGTATGACGTTGAGGCTTCCTATTGGAACATGTCACGATGCATGCATTGATCCTTAGATTTCGTGATATATTTTATAATGTAAATCAGAACCCTGTCTTAATCGGCGAGCAACGCTCAACTGGAACGCAGATCTCAACGTGTAGAGGATGACACGGTTCCTAGACTCTCATCATTGTATTCTGTTCCTTGATCTTCGAGCAAATCTTATCCAATAGACGTTGAAAAACAGAATCATCCATACGCGAATGATTTCTACGATTCATTCGTCTGGAGTTCTTTTAATAACGCGAATTTAGAACGTCCGTTTCTCTCGACTAACCATCTTTTTGTCTATTTCTCTTTAGTCTCTAAGTCTTAATTTTTGTATAATCAGCACCTATTATAGTAATATATTTATATTATAGTAATTGCGTTAGACATAAGTAAAGGCAATATAAGAGATGTAATCTGGAAGTCGTCCAAAACCGAAAGACTAAGATTAAATAAAATAAAAATAATAAAAATATTATAGTAATCCTGTTATAGTAATACTGCAGTTGGAAGATAATCAGACATCGTGGAAGACGTGTCCCGATGTTGGTATCGCGCCAAAAATTCAGAAGAATCGGTAACGCGGAACTAAACTCAGACTGATGCGGATCTTATGAAACCTAAGCAGAAGCTCATGCGTCGTCAAACATGTTTCAACGCGTATAGAAGATGGAACAAGTCACAAAGTCCGATTGTTATGTGCTCTAATCTTCATTCGACTTAACGAAAATAATTTTACAAATTTGAAAACAGTAGGTTCATTGTCGTACTTTTAAACGGATACTATCGTTACAGCGCGAGATCATAAAACCACAAGTTAGAAATATTACAACGTTAAGCGATAGACGACCGTTTATAACGGGGGAGACCGTAACGACGCGGATGTTAGAAATTAGCATAACTTTTCTTCCTTTCCTTGAACTCGGTGCGCTTTATTATCTTATTGCCTACGAACCGTTAAACCCGGTGCAAACGAGCGGTTTGCGACGACATCACCGCCGCGAGGCAGTTTGCCATTGCGTTTTAGGTGCCGTTGTAAACGAAGGGTCGCTTCCTAGATGCATGTTAGACGCATCGATGCTGTAGCTGAGTATACACTGAAAGACAATTGTTGGCAGATACGTGTCAATACGCGACCAGTCGGTATTTGCCATTCCTGAAAAATCCGTAGAAAGGCAGATGCTAATTAGCTGCGACATGTATCCGCGGATAATTGTTCATAGCAAGTGTACACTTAGCTTGAGAATACGCTTTCATGCAGTGGTCATCGTAAAGTAATATACAGCTGTCCACGAAACGACAGCGAACCGTTTTCATCGCTACGCATTTGCGTCATGACAAGATGTATTTTACGCTTCGTTTTACACATCGGCATAGACGCATCGTCATATCCAATAAAACGCTTCTATGAAGCGACAAAGCTTCGCGGAACTCGTGGCCAGCGAGCTTAAAACGCGTTAGGAAATTGCTGCGGTGAAAACTGTTGAGATACGTACAGTTTTCTGTGCTGGACTAGGTTAAATGCGTAGTAGAAATACTTGTATGTGAATATCAGTGTGTGGAAGTATGTGTGTCCGAAGCGTTTCGAAAACAGATGAATGTAAACTCTTCAGTCGGTTAAGGTCCGTCGAAGGGTCGGTTAAGGTCCGTCGAAGGCTCGGTTAAGGTCCGTCGAAGAGTCGGTTAAGGGTCGTCGAAGAGTCGGTTTACAGTCGGGTATAGAAGAAAGTGCTGAGACGCGTGCAAATGTGTATCGATGAATATACAAGGAATCGTCGATGAAATAAATATATCATTGTTTTAATATTAATCCTCAGTAAAAATTTAGCGTTCCTATAACATTATTTCGGCCTCAAAGATCCACAATTCTCAACAAAAACGTTATAGCAAACCGCTAAGAATTGCGGCCCGTACGAACTTTTTAATATAAATTGACGCTACATTTCTCTGAGAAACGAGGACGTTATAATCGTAATCAAACTACGGATTTTTATGCATTTACGTGACATTTGAAATATACATGTAAAACACAAATTGCAGAAATATGTAGAATATTATATTTGTCATGGTTTTCGATAGACAAAACAAATCTCTGTTTAATCTTTGTTCTGTTTCTTTAGTTGTGACCATAAAAATATAAATTTGCATAAAACACCGTGGTCTAATTGTAACTTTCATTTCTAAGTACAATTGTTATTGAATATTGATATTATAAAAGAATGATGTCTTTTGAAATCCTAACATGTTTCAACCTCTCCAAACTTTTATCTACACAAAGTGTTTGATAAAAATTGAAACCCGACAAAATCCTATCACTCCTGACTATGTCGATTCACGATCCATAAATATGAATGATCTTGGGAATTTGCCGTATTCAGACACGTGCTATTTAAACGTCCCATTATTCGAACGGAGCATGCCTCTGCTGTCAATATAAAGTGAAATTAGCATTCCATGTAATCATGTAAACGTAGAAGACAGAAAAATTGGCGCAGACGTCGCGAAAAGTCGAAGGCATTAGTGAAGCATTTATGATGTGAGATAAAGAGCATTAGATGATCCAACGTATAAACAGAATGTAATTCAATACGATTCAACGCTTTAAAAAATTAACGCGACACTGATAGTAAAAATACACAACCCATAAAGAATTACAGATATTGTTGAATATTGTTGAAGTCTCGATTTACCATCGAATACAAAATTATGTTTTACTTCAAGAAAGTTGATTTTAGATTCAATGTTGACGAAGTATATTCTACCATCTAGTTAGAAGATTCTTGGTGTTTCAATGACCGATTATCTTAATTAAAAAGGTCGTTATCCTATGTATATTTGTTGATATGAAAAAAAAACATTATGAAGAGAACGTAAAGTGCGATTATGAAATTGGTAGATGAAAAGCAGCCAGAACCAGATGGCAGATGTACATATAAATAGTTTTGTTCAGCTGTATCTGCTTAAAAATTCCGCGATAAGAGTCACGTAACGCAATAGTTAAAAAGTGGCGAGAGGAAAAAACCAGTTGAAAAAATTATCTAAATCGTAGCTACTGAAGAAAGTTTTGACCAAATAAAAAAGCAAAACAGAATGGAAGATATTCTTATATTGTTCGAAGCGCGTATTCACATGCTAGTTCAAGATAATGAGATCATTCGGATGACCATGTAATTTGCATGAAAAGAATTTTAGAAATGAGCAAATCATGAGATCGCTCTTTAAATATAAATTATATATAAAGAGATATTCTGTTTACCAATAAACAACAAAATTTTCTGTTTAAATTCACCAGTCTCCTAATAATAAAAAATTGAATGCATCTTTTCGAATACGCTAAAGCATAAGGAGTTAAAGACGAAAGATTGGTTATTCTTTTAGTGATAATTAAGGTTATTTGCTAGTTACCTGTTTAGGTTGCAGAACGCGGATGGAATTGAGGGTAGCTGCACCACCATGAAGAACTCGAAGACTCAGTTTACCCGACATTTCGGCAGTGGTAGCAGTCGCGCTTCTCAATTCCTTCTTTGCAGCCCTACCAAATTCCTTTTCAACCTTTAGTATCAAAGGACCGAGAGTAAATCTCGTTTTGATCATGGTGTGATCGCTCATCATGTTCACAGACACGTCTCCGGATCTTTGTAGGCTCGCGAGTCCGTAAAGTGTGGCTCTCGCCTTTGGTTTATTTTTCTTTGTCTGGAAATTGATAAGAAATGTTATTTGATTTTATTTATCGTAAAAATTACTTCCTAGACTTTTAAGTACACGTGTACGCGTGCATATTCGGTCTACAAGAAAATGAACTATTATATCTTCTGCAAAGCAATTTTGCAAGAGAATTGAAAATAATATTTTATAAGAAAAGAAAAGAAATCGGGCCGCTTATGTACACAGCGAATGTAAGACAAAAATCTACAAAGTGGGTGTTACAAGGAGCAGAATCAACGACTGAATTTTAAGTATATTAAACTAATTAAGGTAACGGTATGATTGTTACCTTATTTTTATTACTGCTAGTCTGTTTCGTTTTGTTCTTCGTTCCAGCACGAGTTTTATTTGATTTCTTGCTATTCGAATTAGATACTCGTTTGTTTGCAGATTTTGTGGTTGTCTCCACGTTTGATCTACTTGACACTTGAAGTTCAGATACGATAGTAGTTGCTTCCTTTTCAACGGTAGCAGCTGACATAGTCGTATTTTCAACGGCCTCCAGAGTTTTCTAGAAACGAATTTGAATTAGTTAGTTTAAAATTTACTTTAAAACACCGATGATTAAATTTTCAACGACAGGATTCTGTTTCAGTAAATATGGTTTCTTTCAAATGAAAATGTTGTTTTTAATAGGATAATTCAAGTTTATTATACCTGTGTGTTTTCAGGAACTTCTTCGATAATTTTCTCTGTGGTCACCGAAACTATTCCCATATTGCTCTTCTTTATTCCAGTCTTGCTATTGTTCTTCTTCGTCTTGCTTTTGCTCTTCTGTTTACCAGACTTCGATTTGGCATTCGCATTGGACAATTTCACCGTCACTGGGTCATAATTGCTACGTAAGATTTTATTAATTCTTCCTAAGATGTTGTCCACGAAACGATTGTATTTCGCCACGTAAATCGCCGATACGTCGTTGCTTGGTTCCGACTGCATCATTCCTGAAATTTATCAATTTATTGTTGTTGTCTAATTTTCATTTCTCTCCAGAAACATCTATTGAAACTCGACACGGAGAATGTTCAATTTATTAACGCACAATTTAGCGATCCACGATTTAAGTATTCTTCTTATTATTTTAATTTATTATTCGTATTTAAAGTCCTCAAATTTAAAAATCCGCGTTGTATACAAATTTATTTTTAATATTTAAATGTTTATTTAACATTTGTAACGCACAATTTAGCGATCCACGATTTAAGTATTCTTCTTATGATTTTAATTTATTATTCGTATTTAAAGTCCTCAAATTTAAAAATCCGCGTTGTATACAAATTTATTTTTAATATTTAAATGTTTATTTAACATTTGTAACGCACAATTTAGCGATCCACGATTTAAGTATTCTTCTTATGATTTTAATTTATTATTCGTATTTAAAGTCCTCAAATTTAAAAATCCGCGTTGTATAAAAATTTATTTTTAATATTTAAATATTTATTTAACATTTATAATATCGCTTAAATATTTGCATTTCTATTTATTTATATTTATATGTTACTTAGATTTTGATTTCGAATAGTCAATCAAGAAAGAATCATTTGACCTACGAGAGCTCCCAACAATGTCCATAATCGAATTAAAGTCCAGCTTTCAACATCTGCCAGGTTATCGACCACAATGGTGATTCAATGTCAACGACCCATTTTCCACGATCAACTTGTAACAAACATTCACACATACTTTCAGCCATTTAGTAAATAATGCAACGAATTCGAAATTCGAAGAGTACGTCGTAACACTTCCCCGTAATTTAGAATTTCAAATTATTGCGAATCGATTTCACACCTATCCGTATATCGGACAATTACCAGATCAATTTATCCAAAGTGAAATCGCGTTAACGATCGCGTTTCTTGGCAGCGAGCTAATGCAATTTAATGGTCGAGCATCGGGGCATTCAAATCGCCGTGCATTTGTTTTCTAAGATAGTGGCTAGCGTTAAGCTATGCGATGAATCGACACGAGAAAAAAACTTCCGTGTGGCGACCTCGATGAATTAAGTTCGTAAGAAAGAGCGACAATGTTAACGGTATATCGGAATCCTCCTGCGGAGCTGAACTGGTCTTCGATCTGGGCCACGACCTGCTTCCTACTCACCTACAGATCTATCTAGCCAGCGCGTGCAACCATACGGACAAAAATTCCTCGTGTCTATCTAAAAACTCTCCCCGGTTGTTGATCCTATTCCAGCCACTTTCTTCCGGACGGTTGGTCATTCGCGAGGATCCAAATACTCAGACCGCGGCCGATTAGAAATAGACGCGACGTGAAGTTTCATTCAGCAAAATTCCGTGTCGAGTATTTTTAGAAATATCTAGTAAATGTATTTTATTTGTAGGTCATGTTGAGTTGCAACATAAGTTGTATGTTACCAATAAGAGCTTCGTGCTTTTACATTTATTACAATATATGTCATTTACGTTAGGACTTAATGCAACAACATTGATTAATTATTGTTAACAAATTTGAGATGCGGAGAAAAGTTCGATCTACCTAAATCTGTTCCAAATGGAGAACTTGTAAATCTGTGAAAATCTCAGTACTCTCTAGAAGCAAAATTTGATCCAATCAAACTCGCTGGAAATGAAAAAATTCGAGGTTTCTAGAAACAGAATTGAATCTCATGAAACTGGAACAAATTCTAATAACAAACTCTAAAGCTCCCCGAAAAAATCGAACAACAAGTAACAATCCGACCAAAGAAGCTCCTTCCAAATTGAAAAATCCCGAGCTCCGTCAATTAAATTTCGTCACAGTCTACTAAAAAAAAAAAACCTCGATTCAATTAAACTTCTAACATCTATATTAGAAAATTATAAATTAAACAATTAAAAATTAAATTACAAAATTTGAAGTCTCCAAAAAATCCAAAGGAAAAATTAGTTCAACCGAACAAAATCTTGAAACTTAACTAAGCCCCGTTAGACTGAAAAGATTCAAAAGAGATGTGATGTCAATGATCGATTGCAGCTGATTGGGAATGCGAGAAGAAAATAGAATGACGTGGCCGGTGATCGGGGACGAGAGACAGCCATGACTTTGGGTGTGGGTCAGGGTCATGGACGAGAGAACTCTTTCGCACCGCCACGCACGCTTACGCTTAACGTACTCTGGGTCAGTGGCCTCGTTCTGTTTTGGACCGAGTGCTTGGTGAAAGCTGAGAAAAAATTTCAACCCGGTCACACCTTTATTGGATCTGGCCTTTCAGCCGGAGTCCTGTAGAAAGTTAATTGGCCTCGACCAGCTTCGTTTAATTAAAATTTTTGACGCGTCACAACGTACCGCTTCTTTCGTTACGATTCGTTTCGTTTCGCGTCTATCATTCGCATTCTTCTTCTTCGATTAATTCGAATGAAATTAATTGAAGCCGAATCGAGCGATTGTTCCACGACGAAATTTAATTCGTAGACTGTGTATGGAAATTCGTATCTTTTAAATACTTCGATAACGAGTATTGTACTTTGGCTGCTTTGTATATGTATGTATATGTACAGGATGTCCGAAAAAATCGGGACAAAACTTATGTTACGTGGAAATGAGGTCACGTAGGTGAAACAAGTTCGTACAAACTTATGTTCGAAAATGCTTCATCGAGGAGTTACAAGCGTTCGAAGAATTTTTTTCTTCGTTCGAAGAACTTTCTTCTGTAAGAACGCAGGCTACCAATCGTCGAACCCTTTCGAATAATCCTACTGTTATGAAAATAATAGTAAATGCATTTGCGTCTATCTCTCGATTTTGTGTAACTAGTCATAGGAACAACTTTCACGGAAATCTTTGAACGCTTACAACTCTTCGATAAATGAGCATTCTTGGACATAAAGTTCATACGAACCTTTTTTACTCAGTTGGCCTCATTAACGCGTGATTAATAAGTTTTGTCCCGACCTTCTCAGACACCTTGTATAGTTTGGTATATTATAAATACTGTGCAATCTTGCACCTTTAAATTTCCTATAAACATACAAACATACAAACATTCGGAATTTATTACTTAGAAAATAAAGATGCGCTTAATTACATACGCCTCGTTTATTCAGTATAGTAATTGAGCGCTATTTTGTTGGAACGTTTGATGATGATCATTACGTTGGAAAACTTTTTATAATTTTTAAAGATTAATATTTAGTTCTTCTTTGTAGTTTTACAGTCGCTAGTTTGAAGTTTTTAATTAAATTCCTTTTAATCTTTTCGTTACTTAATTCGATTCAATTCCGTTTTAATTAATTTTTTTCTTTAGTTGAATTTTTTCATTAAATTCTTTTTAAATTGCATATTGCTTATTTAAGTCTTCCAGCTTAGTTACATTTGTTAATTAAATTCTTTCTATTTCGCCTAGGAGAAGACGCTGTGCTTTTATAAACGAAATGTAATTTTCTGAAATTAAATTCCTTTTAATTAAATTCCTGAATCGAGCTAATGCTTGTGTTTTTTGTTGAGAATTTTTCATATAGAGTAAATTATAAATAAATGAAAGGTGATTAACGTAACGTGAAAAATGTATCGCTCCAGGAAATGGCTCTCGAGAGTAGTTTGAATTATTAATGTATCGTTAAACCAAAGTAAATGAACTAAATAATTTTAATTTAAATTTTACGAAGTTTCAAATTTAGACAGCATTAAGAAAGATGATTGTAATTTCTAACGCTAATTGTAAGAGAATCTCTCATTTTTCTAGAAGATTCTTAGTCGAAACTCTCGACCAACGTCTTTAATAAGAAATTCTTTCGTTTTCCTAAAATGTAAAAAATATCAAGCTATCCTACTTTTATTTCATGAAATAAATTATATTAAATAATTACACGCGTATATGGGAAATAATCTACTAATAATTATCCAATGTGCCATGAATATTTAAACACACTGCTTGCAAATAAATACACGTACAAGCATGATATACCTATAATTATATAATATGCTTATATTAATTCCACTCTAACTACAACCTTTCACTTAGAAAAAGAAAGACGATCAATATTCGTTCCGTAATTACATTTAACATTAACCTGTTCTGTAATAACGTTACTATGTGCGCATAATAAATATTTAATATTATGCCATCTAATTGATCTACTATTTATGCATTGCTCTACAGATACTATGATTTTACACGTACTACTACTACAAGGTAAATTTCTACTACAAAAAGAAAAGGAAAAAGCGGGAAGAGAAAATTAACATCCATCGTACGTTCAATACTCAATGTAGCACTATAAAGTGTTGTGTGCTAACTTCACCGTGCACGTAATAGGCAGATGTAATTTTTAACACTACATTATATTGTGCATTGTTCTGGTGATGCTGTGCTTTGGTACAAACTAGAAAAGGTGTGGAATGCGTGTAAAAAGGCCCAAAGTTTCGTGCTACTGTCCAGTAATACGTGACCGTCGGTCGTCATAAAGCCGTCCACCAAACACGTGCATCTACTCGTCAAGGATAAGGCAAAGAAATTGCAAGCAAGGGGTACATTAAATAGTTCTACGAACGAGTGACAAGACAAGCAAAGGATTCCTAAGTAAAAGGAAAGGCTTCCGGCAACGATCATTAACCCTTTGAAGAGCAATTAGTTATAACTATAATATCAATTGCAAATGACATCAATTAAGAGGCACATTATATGGTCAAACGTAATTCGTCTTCTTACAGTATTTTATAAATAAATACTAAACATTTAATAATATAGATACTTAATAATACTACATATACACTATGATTATGAGTATAGAAAATTTTGGACGTTGCATAGTTTTTTACGTATTATTAATTTTTGAATTCATATGTTATTATTATCTTTCTCTCTCTTTGATCGCTTCTTTTCAGTTTATTAGAAAATCTAAAACTTGTTCTGTTTTTTCTAATAGATCGATTTTACTACAATTGATAAATAAAAAAAAACGTATTCTCAATGCAATTTCATTCAAGATATTATTTTAGCTTCACTATTTTAAATAATACTTATAGAAAAATTGATAACCTAAGCCCAACCTAACCTCTTTTATACCTATCATTTCTAAATAAAATTATATTTTATCTAAAAGCTTTATAGAATATAAATATTAATAGATACTATCTGAAGTATCAAACTCCAAGAAATTGAATAATTGTCCAATGATAGTAATTCAATGAAAAGATCCAATAATTCAAAACTATAATAGGAATATAGAAAATAATTGCTCCAAAGGGTTAACCGAGCTAAGTGACACAGCACATCACGTATTAAATGAAGAAAGTAGCTCTAAACGATTAATACCGGAGATTATTCATAATTAGAACGGTGTATCAAGACGTGGAAAAACAAAACGAATAATCGTTCCTCTTCTCGTTTTTCCCTCGATTAACGAGGGAAAGAGGAAAAGAGAGGTTATCCTCTGGATCACGATTAACCTGGACAAATACACGGAACTGGTTTGAACACGGACGATTGGTGACAGAAATAAAAAGGCGAGACACACAATTTATTTTGTTGTTTTTTTCTAAAAACAATAAGTTATCTGTATTTTTGCAATCCAGAACGGACAATATCTCTGTACAAGCTTTTTTTCAAACAGAATTGTTACAAGTCCTGCGCGATAAACAACACCGTTTCTCGGCCACAATTTTATTTTACAAATACACATTTTCTCTTTTTTGTTTCTTACGTTATTTGAATTAAAATAATTTTAATAAAAGATTATATTTATAATGGAGACTTAAATTATAAGATAAATTTGATTTGAATCCCAATTGTTTATATATACAAGAAAAAAGAAAGTTCATTCATTGAGAATAAATGTTGAAGAATTGAAAGAAATCCAGCGTTAAAAAATTGGAGTGGCCAGTTGCGGTATTGCTTACTCGGCGAATGAATGACATCGTTCACTTTACGGCTCTCTTTCTCTCATTCTTACGTAAAGACATACGGATTCTCTCCTTTACTCCTCGTTTTATCGTTAGTCGATAAACGAGTAGAAAAAGGAAAAGAAATACGTGACGTGAGGTCACCAAGCTAAGATATTTTCAAATGATACCTATTCCTTCACATCGCCAAAGTACCTTTTTCCCTTCATTCTATGTCGATCAATAAATATCCAAATTTCTATTGTACAATTTTTGTTTTCCGTAAAAAAGAAATCTTTTCTCGCACATAACTATTCAACATCGTAAAACGTCTCGCTTTTTCTGCAATCCTAAAGTTCACATGAATTAATATAATATAGACTGAAAGACAAATAAATATAATAAATATGAGAAGGAAGCATAAATACAGCTTTAGAATCACATGATTCACGGAACGCTCTACTGTGTTGCAAATAATTGGAAGTGCGAAATATTTTTTTCTTTTATTGGAAACAGTTGGAAGAAAGAAAGAAAGAAAAGGAAAGAAATGCAGGTACAGATCGAAAGGTACTTTGAATTCTTCGTTCCGTTGCTTTCTTGCTATCAACAGCTTCGTTCAACAACGCTTACACGAGTTTCGAATGTTTTTTGATTAAAAGTAAATGTTTTTGTTTCTACTAATTAATGTTAATTACGACATTTTATAATCGTTATCACGCGAATATTTGTCTATCAGAGGTTTGTAATACTTCATTTGTAATACCGTTATCGATCATTGTTTTGACATAAAAGTTAGGGTTTTGAATGTGTATGAGAGGAATACTTGCAATTGTTATAGGGAATTAAAGATCTATGTACATATGTTCTTAATATACTTAAGTATCGATAAGATAATATGTTTTTAAATCTGTAGCCTCTACTTTACAGATATATATATATATATATCAATACTACTGTGGCTGTGTAGATTTACTCATGTGCTTAATTCACGAATATTAATTCTTTTACTCTGTAATAAGTGCTAATTATTTACTGTTTTAACGTTATATCTGGACTTAATATTATACACAATTTATATTCAGTAATCCTGTAATTCAACATTAAAGTCGACATGAAAAGTGAACTTTGATGTATACAGGTTACCTTTGGTGTACGTCAATCGAGTAGCTATTAAAATAGGTAGAGAAAAGATAAATATGTATGATAAGTGCCGATAAAATATCGCGTGTATAATTACTAGATGTTTAAAGCAGACAGTTAAAATAACTAATGAAAAAGTTAACAAGCAACGTATTTATAGATCTCTTTTCAAACGAAGATTAAAAGTGAAGTTAAGACTGAAAGGTTAAGGTTAAATTATGTTAGAAGTGTCACTCGATCGATATATAAATAGTATATCAAGAAAGATTCAAACAGAATAAATAGTGATAATAAGAGCTTGAATCAACGATCAGTGTCAGTAATTACGAATATTATAGAACTTTCCTATCTACTGTTTCAATCACGCTTTCACGTGACTGCAAAACATTTCCACCGCGCTATTAATGATTTCTTGACGTATTGTCAGCAGATGCAATAGCCTAACGTCATACGCGTCTACATCATTAACCTCATTTCACCTATCACTAGAAGAAGAAAAAGAGTGAATGCAATATAGCAAATAGCAATATAGCAATGCAATATGCAAATATTGAAAAAACAGCCTATCTTAGGTAATTTTTCTCTATAACTGTCATTTCATTATTAGTTACTGTTGTTAACGACTTATTGTATCTACCATCTATAGTGATGCTTGAAACCTGAAATTCATTCTGCATGAATACGGAAGTCTCATCGTATACATATATTTTGTATCTACTTGTAATTTTCTATCTCAAGCTTCCTACTTCACCCCGATGTTTTACCTAATTTACTTTTTCCAATTGTGTACTTTTCAAAAAAAATATAAATCTATGTACTTAAATACAGATATTGAAGTTTGTAATTATATACGTGTATATTAAAAACACGGATTTTATATTCTCTAATACATTTTACAGATATTTCTTCAAAACACATTCAAAACCCTAATCTTTAATCAAAATGTTTATGTACATTCCATCTCTTATAATTCGCACGATGTTACTGGTTTAACAGTTAGAATTGAATACCGTAAACGGAAATCGTGTAAGCTCCGTTGGAACAACCGAAGAACGCGTGGTTGGGAGTTACGAGAAGGCATCAGGATGTTACGTATTGACTTTACCATGCTGTTCGACCACGTGCGAATCGCTTCGAGTAGAGGTATCCACGTTAATAAATAGAATAAATATACTACCGCTACTTCTACTAATCTAGTGTTACATGTCTACCACTACAACTGGGCGTTTCAATGATTTTCAAGCGAATTTTCAAATCGAAAGCAACAAGTAGTTAGTCAAGAAAAGAAAAGGAATCTTCGACGATCGACTTTAATTACTTTTTAACGATCGACCAAAATTTTCTTAAGTGTTGACGCTTTTATTTTTTGGAAGAAAATTTCAGAAACTACTGTCAAGAAAAATTCATTATGGCAAAAATGAAATAATACGTCGAACAGCATCGGTGGATGAAAACTTCTCGAATCGGAGCTTTGCCTTTTTATGAACGAGTGCGCAAGCTCTAGTGGTCGGCAGATTTTAGGCTAGCTTTTGCTTAGATTACTTTTCTTCTTCTAAAGACTGTAGAAAATAATTAACATCTGATTAAATGGACAAGAGCGGATTAAGTGGATTAAATGTAAAGGAATTTTAATTTTGAACGAATTACTCTTGACCGTTCATATGTTTCTATATGTTTATGTTTTATGCAAGTGCTGCTTGAAAATGTGCTTGGTGAATAGGGTCCTTGGATTGGTGTCTTGTTTTTCTTGAACTTTGCAATTGTGTAGAACTTCTATGAAGTTTTGGAGCTTGTTACTTTTGTTTTAAAGAAGAAGCTTTATATGTACATATATGGTTATTTATGTTTTTCCTAGGGAATATTTAAACACGTGCACACAAAAAGAAACTAAATGCTTGAACTTTTCATCTATAATACTCTAAAATTGCCCTATATAAAATTAACCCTGAATTGAAACTAGGAAATTCATACTACATAAATTGAAAAATGTTACAGATATTATTTTTTAAATTACATTTGGTATTTGCTATTGTATATATCATCTCCTTACGAGAAATAAATCAATAAAAGTAAGTCAACTATTCTTTAAGAAATTCAATACTAATCATGTACTTGCAGGTAAAAATAAGCACAGTTGGTTTCTGAGAGATTCGTACAAATCAAAATAATTTAACCCACAAAGTTCCCATCACGAGACAACATTCCCAAATATCCTCTTCCAAGACAAACAAAATAATAGTACACGTAACCTCAAAGCAAAAGTCTGACCTAGAACATCCACACGACCCATAGAAAGCATCGACCGTTTCGCAACGGCGCGAAGAGTCGAATAATTAATGAATTGAGCGCGTGATTGTCAGGAATCGTTGTACGTGACTTGCCACTCGTTTCCCTCCTCCCTGGTTAAACGACAGCCTTCGAGGAAGGGGATGTAGCACGCGTGCGAGATTTACGCGCGTGTTTACGCCCTGTACTGTGTTTCTTGCTCTTTCCCTTGAACTCACGTGCTTGCCTGGCGCCAGCGATGTCGGCGATGCTGTCCTCGTCATCCTCATCGTCCTCGTCGTCCTCGTCCTCGTCATCGTCGACCTCGGTGTATACCAGATCGACGTCGTCCTCGTCGTCCTCGTCTTCATCGTCATCATCGTCCTCGGTATCTGCCTCGTTCGTTGATACGGCTGGGACGTGGACAGGATTTGACACGGATTCCGCACCTTCGAGCCCGGTTTCGTGGATACCGGATACGGCTTGCCCTTCTCCCACTGCGTTTCCTTCGTCTTCCTCGACGGCTGTCGGCTCGCTATCCACGGCTGTGCTCTCCGCAGCGGTTTCTGCTGCATGCTCCGCTTCCGCGGCGGCGGCGTTCAAATCGGCTTCAACAGCCGCCGGAAGTGCAGACGCTACTGGCGCCGCCACTGCTGGCGCCACTGGTTCTACAGGGGTGGCTTCATCATCGTCGTCATCGTCGTCCTCTTCACCTGCAATTCATGGTTTGTTGGTTATAGAAGCTGTTTTTCACGTGTCTTTCCGATTATTTATTTCTGTTTAAATTGTGTTCCTTTGGAACTGCTGAAGATTGCACATGATAATATTATTGCAATTGGTAACATTAGTAATTTTATATTAGTAATTAGTATCTTCTTCTTTAAACGTCTGAGATTTTATGTTAAACAAGATAATCAAATGACTAGCAAAGTTATTACTGTTATGCAAAAGAATTTATCAATATTAATAACTTGTAATTTATGAATTATAAAATTTTGCTAATAATATTATCATTGAATTGTGCAAGGGTACCCTGATGATTGAATGAAATATTTTTTAGGGTTATTTTTTATTTAATTAAGGATCAGAGTGTTTAATAAAATTTTCTTATTTCTTAATTGTATACATGATTGACTAGAATTCTTGGCAGTATACCAAGAATGAATTAAAATTTTAATCAAAACCAGCAAATGGATTAGCAAATAAAATTAGCAATGGATTATAAACTTGTTGAAATATTATGTGTAATACTATATATAGTACATATATATATAATATGTATAAATATTGTGTATAATACTATATATAGTACAATAACTATCGTTTTCTCCATCTTTAATGATCGTGTAACGAAAAATGTTGGCAGTTGCGATTTATCTTTTCGTATGTGGGTCGATATGAAAGAAGTAGCGCGTAGAAATTCTTTTCGAACTGGAGTCGCCGTCGATTTATGTTAATTCGGGCGAGTTTGAAGTATCTTGTACCGTTACAGCTACGTGAACGCACCAGAATTTCCGTCGGACATGTCGCTAACCTGAAGTTTAATGTTTGTGTAACGGCTGGCACATTCGCACCGCGATCCTTCCCATTGTTCGATTCAACGAAATCTTATTGACGGATCTCCGATAACCGTACGAAGAAAGCAAAAGCCATTAAATGGACTAATCGGCCAGTGAACTCGAATTCTATAATTAACTTGAACTCGTTATAATTAAATATCACGAGCCATACTTTAAAAATGAAATTTCGCTATCAAATAAACCGATGTGATTATTAAATTCCTGGCACATTTTTGTAGGTTCCGAATCATGTTTTTCAAGTCTTGAAAGTAAAATTCAACAAAATTTTTTATGGTGATTTGTTCCTGAAAAAATGACTAAACATTCCTTAATATAGAAATTTCAAGCGTGCTACTTTCATAACAGTATAATTTCTATTCTAGAGATACTTCTTTAAATTATTTTTATTACTAATCAAAAATTTGCGTATTCAAATTATTTTGAATGTGGTTTTTCTATGATTCATGGATAAGACTATATTTATATTTTGTATTGACTATATAAGTAAATATTTTAATTATATTGATTCTATTATCCTTTCGATTAATTCTTATTTTCCAATTGCAAACGAAGAAAATGGATCCTACCTAATATATCCTCGATGAAACGTTCGAAATAATCGGAAGCATCATCGTCGTCGTCGTCATCGTCGTCGTCATCGTCGTCATCGTCGTCGTCACCCGTGATATCGAAGTCGACGTCGTCGTCGTCATCGTCGTCATCGTCATCGTCTTCGCTGACTGCTGCTGGCTGCTGCGTCGCCTGTCTTCCGGTTGCGACCTGATTCGACGTAGAAGTCGCCGCTGAGATTTTTGGCAGCGGCGATGC